CAGTTCCCCCCACAAGAGACACTACGCTGATGTTGCAGCAAGAGGGAGTCGGACAGATATGAAGAGGAGTCCTGAGTGGAGCCTAGTCCATGTGGAACCATCTTTTTTAAAAAATATTTTTTTATTGATTTCAGAGAGGAAGGGAGAAGGAGAGAGAGAAACATTAATGATGACAGAGAATCATGGATTGGCTGCCTCCTGCATGCTCCACACTGGGGATCAAGCCTGCAACCCAAGCATGTGGCCTGGCTGGGAATCGAACCTCCTGGTTCATAGGCCGATGCTCAACCACTGAGCCGTGCCAGCCGGGCCAGGTTTCAGTCTTGCTTCCATTCTAAGATTTACTGCCATGAGCAGTTTTCAGGAGTTATCTGGCCAAGGCCACTGTTTCAAGAATGAATCATCTGGTAGAAAATCATGCACACAAATAAGCTATGAGTGACACATGGTGACCAGTGCTGTAGCCCCATGGAGTGCCGCTGACTTTAGTAGAGGGAGAGGTTATTCCGACTTGGGGGGTTAGGAGGAGTCCCTTGTATGATCTGGATCTCCTAGGATGGACTAGATTTACATAAGTGGAGACTGGGGAAAGTGGAGGCAGCAGCTCAAGTAGAGCCGTGGGAACAGAAACGCACAGAGAGAGCCAGGGAAAGTCAGTTACCCTCGTGTTCCTAAAACCCGCGTCAGGCCTTGCAGGCTGCACTGGCCAGGCCTCCAGACACAGCGCCGTGTGCACGGGAGCAGCAACAGTGTCAGCTGAGAGTCTCCAAGAAACAAGTGCTCAGATGGGGAGACATCCAAGAGCTGTGTGGGGAGACACGCTGCAAAGGATAAAGGGAACAAAACGGAGGTAGCTAAGGAGAGCCTTCCGAATGGGGTGCAAGCATGACCCCTATAAAAGCAAAAGGGGGAAGGAAGGATGAGAAGAAGGAAAGGAGGGAGGGCAGGAGGGAGGGAGGGAGGGTTTCAGACTGAGTACAGCCAGGGGAGTTTTCGTTAGGCCAGTGGGGAATCCTTGAGGCCAAGCCATCTATTAGACCAGTCCCACCTGCACGATGGGCTCGCACTGTCACCACTGCTGTCAGTCATTGGCTGGGAGCAGCCCGAGGGATGTGCAGCCTCAGGGGAAAGTGGTGGTGGATCCGGAGGTGGCAGGTGGGGTTGTCGGTCAGTGCCGCTCCCCGAACAGGAGAAGGGAGGGGTGGGTTCATGGCGACCAGGCGCCCGGATCACAGTGACCTCTGATCGAAGAGGCCCAGCTGCAGACAGAGCACAGCAAGGAGCTCCTTTGCCAGTGCTCACTAGGCCTCCTCCACAGCCAAGGAGAGTCCCCTGCCGGCTGCTAAATGCTTTCTCTTCCTTTTTAAAACTCCCTTCGCCGCTCTTTCTGCAATATTGAGATGACTAGATGGTTTTCTCCTCTAATCTATTTTATGGTGAGTTATAGTTAGAGATTTTCCAATGTGAATTCTACCCTTATATTCCAGAAATAAACCTAAACTGAGCAGGAGTTCATATTTTTTACTTTCTGCTATATTTGGCTTGCTATGTTTAAGATTTTTTTTCATATTATTCATAAGTGACATTGCAGTATAATTTTTCTTTCGTGCAAAGTCTGTCTCTGGTTTTGGATCAAGGATATTTTGGCCTTGAAGAACAATTGGGGAATAGGGATTCATTTTATAGCTCTATAAAATGTTGACTATATTCAGAAAAATCTGGGCTTATTTTTTTTAATTGGTAGAATTTAACTCCAGATTCAAATTCTTTAATGACTAGGAGACCATTCAGACTTTCTCTTTCTTCAGGGGGAAATTGGGCAAGTAAATTTTTTTCAGCAAATTTGTTTGTTTTTATTATTAGCAAATATATTTTTATTAAATTGTTCTTAATGTGTTCTTAATTTTTAAAAAATCATCTGTGATATTTTTAGATATAGCTTTTTGTGCTCCTAATTTTGTATTTTTAAACTGTTTCTTTTTCCTTAATCAGTTTGTCTATTCTCGATCCTCTATTATTCTATGTTTATACATATTATTTTCCTCTTTTTATTCTGTTGTGATTTCTTCTATCATTTCTTCCTCTAACTTCTGAAGTTGGTTGTTTAATTTTTTAGCCTTCTTTGCTTTCCTTTTATGAGCATTAAAATGATGTCTTCCTTGACATTTCCTTTTGCTGTGCTCCGCAATTGCTGATACATAGTGTTTTAAATATCATTTGGTTACAATAATTCAAATTTTGTGTTTATTTGAATTATGAGTTATTTAAATGTTTAAAAATATTAAGCATACGGGGAATTTTAAAGTTAATTTTTTATCATTAACTTATATAGGAAAGAATTTGATCTGTGTTGTTCTAGTTCTTTGAAATTTATCGCTTTGCATTATAGCCTATTCTATGATCTTCTTTGTACATGTCCCACATGTAGTAGAATTGTTTGTTATTGAGTGAAGTGCTATATGTACGTATGTCCATGACATCAGGCACAGGTGTTTTTGGCTGGAATTACTGGTGAATGTCAATCTGATTAAGATGAAAATCATCGGTAAAGCTGGGCTCTTTAGAGATATTGCAGTGTTAGAGAAGCAGTGATTTCCAGCCTCTGAGTCTTAACTTCCATCCAGGCAAGGAGTGTTCTTTTTGTAATTACACCTGCGTTTTCTCAATCAGTGGGTAGCAAAAGTAACTACTATCCTACAATTTTTTAACTTTAATGAGTGTTCCTCATTATAGAAAGGCTTGGAAACGACTCCTGTGGGTATATGCTTCCTAAAGAGGCACAGATTTACCCCAGAACATTCATACGATGCTCAAGAAGTTACTAGCACAATTGTGCAAGTCACATGCACCATCAGACGCGCCTTCTGCATGTTCATTCTAAACCCACGGGAAACTGTCAGCGGTGCCCACTGGACAGGCATTCTCAGAGGCTCCCCAGCACATGGAGAGGGATTGGCCCGTCTGCAGCGGGTCCCTGTCAGAGGTGCGTTTCTGAAACTAAACTCAGATTGCTTCAGGGAAGGGTCCGAGCTGATTTAACCGATATCTCCAGGAGCCCTTAGTTTGGGGACTTTTCCCATCACAGTCTCCGCCACTTGCCTTGGAGAATCCAAAGCCATTTTGACCATATCCTTGTCTCAATCCTATATTAAGAATTAAAGGATAGGTTCATGCAGAGGAAATGTAGCAAAGGAGGGACTTTCCTACAAGATCTTTTTAAAAAAGAGCATTTGCATAAACCATATTTAACCAGAGTCTTTGTTTTGTGTTTTTCCTTTCTGAGTGCTTTGTTACACTCCCTTGCAGTCCCCTCCCTGACCCCTGACCCCAGCTAGTCCAGACCAAAGTGTGAACAGTATTTCCCAGTGGAATCTTCCCGGCCCCACCCTCCTCATCAGGCCTGACTAATTACATTTGCTGACTAGTCCCACTTCCGGTTCCCTCTGCTCCTGACCCCTCAGCCCAGTTAACCTTCCCAGAACATCACTGTCATCTTGCCCCTCTTGCTCAGGTCTTCCCAGAAACTATGGAACAAACTTTGCAAGCTTGGGGCTGGGGTGTGAAGCGATTGTATGCCCTTTTTTGCTGCTGGTGCTCTGCCAGGCCAACCTGTCTGCCATCTCTGATTTCAATACCTTTGTCTCAGACACTCAGTTCACCGTCTGGTTGCTAATTAGACCTCTCTCTGTTTTATCTCTAAATCCCGCGGCCCTTCGCCAAGGGGCCCTCCCTCCTCCGAGCCCGGCTCTCTGGGCTCACACACCCAGCAGGCCATCGTGCACAGTCCCCTTCTCCCTTCATCGCTGGGTCCTTCAGGGCAGGACTCTGCCCCTGTGTGTCCGCAGCCTCTGGTCACATTTCTTGCAATAGCAGATTTGTGTAGACGTTTAATTGGTTCATTGAAAACTACCACCCCACGCCTTGCACCTCTCTTCACATTAAACACTTTACCACGTGATAACCCCCACGAGCATCTGTTATCCCAGATACAAGGGCGAGTTTTAAGGATGCTGAGGGCAGAGACAGTCTGTTCTCTCGGGGTCCCTTCCAAGGGCAGTTTTCAGGTGACTTGGGGAGTGGCCACGTCCCTTTGGCCAACAGTAGTTTCAGAAATCAAGTCTATTTTAATAAATTTGTATTCCCTGAATGCAAACTGGTGCAGCCACTGTGGGAAACAGTATGGCATTTCCTCAAAAAATTAAACATGGAACTTCATTTGACCCAGTGATCCCACTCCTAGGAATATATCCCAAGAAAACAGAAACGGGAATCAGAATGGACATATGCACCCCTATGTGTATAGCAGTGCAATTTACAATAGCTAAGATCTGGAAACAGCCCAAGTGTCCATCAGCAGATGAGTGGACTAGAAAACTGTGGTACATCTACACGATGGAATACTATGCTGCTGTAAAAAAGAAGGAACTCTTACCATTTGCAACAGCATGGGTGGACCTGGAGAGCATTATGCTAAGCAAAATAAGCCAGTTAGAGAAAGATAAATATCACATGATCTCACTCATTTGTGGAATATAATGATCAAAATAAACTGATGAACAAAAATAGAATCAGAGTCTGAGAAGCATCGAACAGACTGTCCAACCTCAGAGGGAAGGCGGGGAGCGGGGGGAGGGGGGGGTAAGAGATCAACCACAGGACTTGTATGCATGCATATGAGCATAACCAATGGACACAGATGGGTCGACACAAGGGCATGTGCTGGGGAGCTGGGGGAAGCCGGGGAGAGGTCAATGGGGGAAAAAGGACACATATGTAATACTTTACGCAATAAAGAATTTAAATTAAAACAAATTATATTCCCTGTTCTCTTTAGCATAAGACACACAGCTCTTTTTTATTTATTTACTAGAGGCCCAGGGTGGGGTCTGGCTGGCCCACCCTGATCGAGGCTGATCCTGATCTGTGCCCTGGACCGAGCCTCTTGCCAAGGTGCCGGGGAAAAGCTTAGTTCCCATGGGACCGTCCAGCCACGCTGGGAGGAAGGCTTTCGCTCCTGCAACGCCGGAGGCCACCTAATGCGACAAGACTGCCAAGGCTGACGGGAAGCGCGCTCTCATTATTTCTCCTGATGATTTCCTCGTCCTTTGTCACGGTTGTGTGCTATTGGGTGGTGGCAGCTTTCCTTTTCTGAGCGGGACACGTGGACAGAAGGAAGAACCACATCGCGGCAGTCGAGAGAGGGACATTTTAGGGAAAGGGGGAAATGAAGCGGCGGCTCAGTGGGCAGAGCATGGGGGCTGTGAGGGGGGACATCGCTGTCCAAGGGTAAGTATATTCACTGCCCACAGTAGGATGTGGATAGGAAGCCACTTTCTTGCCTCATCTGTTTCTCGTTAAGTCATTGTGGAGCTGGGCCTGTCTCCGGCTCGTGTCAAAGAACAGCACAGTCTCAGGAGGCCGAGGGGTGAACGTGAGGACACGAGTGGAAAGTGTGGCACTCATGTGACAGATTTTCGTGACCAGAGCCAAGGTCATACAATCAAATCTTAATTTAATAAGGTCGTATTCAGAAAACGAAAATACTGCAGCCAGACCCAGCAAGCAAGTTTGGTGAACAAATCCAGGGAAACCGACACTTCTGTGTCCCTTAGACCTTCCGTTTCACCGAGGCGGCGTTCCGGCTTATTCCGTGTAATCTGGAGCACACCCATGTGGGGAGATGCTGGCATCTCATTTCCTAAACAAACCTGAGACTCAGGGTCACCCCACAGAGGCAGAGGCCGGGTCCCAGCGGGGTGGGGGGCTCCCCAACTCAGGCCTCTCCACCTCCCCCAGCTGGTATGCGGGAGCAGGGCTGCCTCTGGTGAAGGTCCCTCTGGCCTCTGACCTCAGAGAAGGCCCCAGACCTGCGTCTGCTCGAGCCCTGGCTGAGATCCAGGTCCTACGGAAAGCAGGAAGGGTCAGGCAGGGAGGGGGAGGGGAGGGCTCTACAGTCCAGGTCAGTTCATAAGGCAGTTTCATCCCGGACTCAATGGCCGCAGTCACCCTGTGAGGTAAACAAACGAGGCGTGTTTCACTCTATGTTATGGGCAGGGAAGCAGCCTCGGGGAGGCTCACCCCAAGGTCTTAGGAGACATGGATCCTTTGAATCTTCATTTCTTTGTGAAGTTTATGAATCTTTATGTAAAAGACGGAGCGGCACATAAGTCCTAAGATCACAGTCCCTTGGGCCTCGGACGCGAGGCTGTGCTGTAAGTCTGCACACCTCTTACTCCCAGGAAGCAGCCTCCGTGGCTTCCCTGGTGCTGATGTGTCAGTTGCACGAGGCCTTGCCGGCAGGGCTGCCCGGGAGGCTGAGCAGGTGGCACTGCCTGGCTCCGAGGGGCGTGTCCCAAGCCGCACTCACGTGAGTGGCACACCCTGGGTTTACAGTGCACAACCCAGGCTCCTTACAGCGCCGCGTTGTAAGGCAGAATCTGAGGCGGCTGGAGAAAGGGAGATGTAACCACCACCAAAAACCATCCTCCTGGCCCTGCAGGCGTGTGTGAGAGCTGTGCTGGCCGTGGACAAGGGCGTGTTTGCAGCTGGTCCTTACCAGGGCCCTGTTCTCTTCTACCAGCTCCGCCCTGGACGTGGGTGGTACCTGCTCAGGCCATCACACGCCGCAGAGAGAGGGTTTGCTGCCCACGCCTGCAGCACTGTGAGCTCCCCCTGGCTTATTTGAACCTTTACTGTCAAGGAATGAACTGGACCCTCCAGGGATGTGGCACAGACTCTGCCTTCAAGGGGGGGGGGGGGCGGATATTATTGGGGAGAAAACATATGGATGACAATTTTTAAAATAACAAACTAGGTAACACTGGGGGGAAAGAGCTGTGTTTAAGTACAAAATGGCATGTTACAGACTAACCTTGCGGTAGGAGGCCAAGGGGAGATTGCCGTGGGCGGGACTGGTAGCACCAGCTGTGAAAGAAGTGGTGAGGGTGACCGGAGGCGGGACCTGAGGTGAACCGTGAGGAATGGGTGGAATAGGGAGATGGGTAAGAGAATTGGGGCCGGGGGACGGGGAGCATTTCGGCAGGAGGCCCGGAATCTCTTTCTCCCAGTTTCAACTCTTCTGCAGAACCACAGGGATAGACGCTGCGTGCTGCTGGTGCCCCGGTAATGATGTTTCTTTATCAACTATGCTGTGGTTCTAAAAAACACGGAATTCAAGAAACCTGGGTGGGTGTGACAAAAAGAGACAGCGAAACCCAAATGTGAGAAAAGCTTGGGTCTGGTGCCTTCCTCCTCTCCGGGGTGTGGTGCTTATGAGATGCTGTGTGTGGAGTCAGCCACTGGCCAGGGAGCAGGGGGAGGCAGGCAGCGAGGTCTGCGGGTGTAGAAGGTGGAATCCAGTCCTGTTCAGCCCAGAACCCCACAGTTTCATTGGAGTTGGAAGCAAGGATGACATCAGCTGAATGGCCTCTCAGTGAGAATGTACGCCCCCCTTCTGCCTGCCCTCTGCCTCCCGCCTTGTAAAGTGTGGCTTGCAGCACCACGAGCCGGCTGCTGACGTGTACCCACATCCCACGGTGTTTGGAGGTGTGTGTCATCAGGTACAGCTCTGAGTAGAAACTGGAAACAAGAGTCAAGAAAGAGCACGACACCAGGGTCTTTATGTTCCACAGCAATCCTTTCCCTGTGGTCTCGTTCCTCCACGGGGAAGAGAGACACACTGAGCTACACAAACCACAGCGCGGGTGGGTGGGGGGAGGGGACGGGGGCAGAAGAAGCTGCTGGCCCTGGAGAACCTTTCCAGATGTACTGAGCGAGACACGCATCATCTCAACGGCGGAGGGTTGGAAGGATCCAGGGATGGGCCAGGATCTCGAGAGCTTTCGGTCCCGGAGCGTCATTTAGTACGGATCATCCATGCTGAATGGAAAACAGGAGGACGTAAGTTAAAGGAAGGGGCTCAAAACTGCAAAAGTTCAAGTGTTATTAGGAACAGTAAATAGTCCCTAGAGGTGAGAAGAAGAATAAAGAAAATAGGATCAATGAGTTGGACAAAATGCCAGACAGGCCCTGAGGCAGAGAAATGAGGCCAGAGCAGCCTACAGCGGCGCTTCTCACACCTTCTGCTGCTTCCCACCCAGATGCAGCGGGTGTGGGTGAGGCCAGAGATTCTGCATCTCTAACCAGCTCCCAGGTGATGCTGCTGGTCCCCAGCCCACACTGAGAGAAGCGTCCGGGACCAGGCTCTGTCTTCAGACCCAGTGAGCATGCGGGAGCTGGAGACAGACCTTGAGCAGTGGGAGGTCAGTAAAGCAGAAGCAGACATGCTCAAAAGGATAGAGGACTCAGAGAACATGACAGCTCATGAAAGCCATGGCGGTGGGTCTACAAGGCCTGATTCTGGTGGGCTACGATGGGAGGAGGTGGTGACACGTCTAGCTTCATGAACTAAACGACACCCCGTGTGTGGGAAACAGTTGTCTCATTCTTGGAAAGGACGGGGAGCACCAAATGCGGTCTGTCTTCATAGCACCTCTGGCAGGGAGGACCAGCCTGGGGCTGTTCTCACGACGAACTGCCCTGGGAAACCACAATTCAGCAGCTGCCAACGTGCTGCCAACACAGACACAAAACCGTTTCTGAAAACAGAATCTCACGTCGGCCCTCCTCTGAGGTTGGCATCGTATCTTCCTGTGTATCTCGGGTGTAGCTCTTACCCGGGCAGAATTTAGACACTAGAAACCAAATGAGGTGATAAACAGAACCGGTTTGCAGAAGAATCAAAATAACCCAGCAAGAATCGAAACCGCAAATGCCCTAGGAGCCTGTCATTCACCAACCAAAGGCTGGTAGGATTGAGCACAGAGGACTCAAGGGCTTTTAAAAAACTGATACAGGTGTTTGCTGTGATCCTGTTCATGTCACCTTTGGCTTGTTTTAGAAACACGCCCTACTCCTCCCACCCCACCCTTCCTCGGTGCCAGCACACTGAGGGCTCTGTGTCGTGGGGGATCACACCCCCGGGACTTGCCATTCTAACCTGGGTCAAGAGCCCTGAGTTCCAACAGCATGAGCGTTAAGAGCATGATCTTTGACCTACAGGGTACAGATCTCATGGGACTTTCTGTGATCACCAAACTTCTGAAGGGAAGGCGGTCTTTTATCAATGCAGAATTCACTGACCACTGCCACGTCTGTCTTGCATTTTCCTTTTTCCCTAAAATACTTCTGTCTTAGCTCCCCAACCAGGTGATCTCCCTGAGGTCAGGGGTAAGGATTGACTCCTCTTTTCCCATCCAGTTTAGCATTGTTTCTGCACAAAGGTGTGCAGTAAAACAACTGTTGATTGATTCATGTAAAAATTAGCAGATCATTCAACTTAATGTGGCAGTTAGCTTAGAATGGTAATGAACTTAAGGCTGACATTCCTCCTGCCCTAGGCCATCTCAGAAGTTGAATCGATCCATCAAGCGGTGATGAAAACACAGGTGGTTCCTGCGGCCAGAGACCGGCTCTGGGTGGATTGTGCCAGAAAGACTTTTACTCGGTGGGTGTGAGCATCTTGTGGGTTTCCTGCCCACAGAGCCGGGGAGGTACTCTGGGAAGGGTCTAGGACCCATCCACACTGCCCAATGGAAGGTGAGGCAATGAAATAGAACAAAAGGACCTCCACCGACCCTCTGTCCCCACCCAGTTACCTCCAACTCTCTCATCTCCTTCTAGCCACGCTTTTCAAGAGGGATGGCTGACGTGTTCTGCCTGTTTTCTCATCCCCACTGATGGATCACACTGAGCCCTGGCCACCGGACTTCTGTCCTGACCTCCACACTGAAAATAGGCTCCCACCAGTACCCTGGTCACATCCAGGGGAAACGTACTGGTTCTCTTGGCAGCATGTGAAACAGTTTCATTTCTTTGTTTCCTAAGCGGTCCCAACCCCATACTCCCCCCCACCCCCCATTTCCTTCTCACTCCCTGGCGACCTCTTCCCACTCTCCTTTTCCTCAGCTGCCTTGCTCCCTGCTGCTGTTCCCCGGGCTGCCCCTCCCTCCCACATGCTCCTCGCCCACACTGCAGCCTGGGTGATCGCCCTGGTCCTCCGATGGTAGTTACCTCCTGCGATGTGAGAACCCCTGAATCCACATCTGCCCCACAGCGGCCTCTGGGCTACAGACGGAGCCAATGGACCACGCATGAGCCACGAGCACCAAAGCTCAACGTGTACAAAACAACCCCAGGGCGCCACCTCCAAAACGTCTCTCTCTTTTCGTTTTATTTTTTGTTGTTGTTTTCCCTTCCCAGTGAATAGCATTGTGCCACCTGTCAGTTCCCCAATCAGAACCATGGCAACTTCTTTGATTCATTCTCTGTTATTAGCCAACTAAGGACCACACTCAACTGATTCTACCTCCTCTTACCTCATGAGCGCATCCTCGCTGCTATGGTTCTAGGCAGTTTTAACCTCATAATTTCAAATTCCTTCAAAACAGTTCTTTGCCTCCAAGTGCACCGATTCCCATGTTTGCTTACGTTTGTGTGGGGTGATCCTCACAGATCAGGTGCAAAGATCCCCGAGATACACATTTCAGCATGTGGAAGGATGCTGGGGGGGAAGGACAGCCATCTGCTCAGCCCTGTAGGGATGCCCCAAAGGCCTCAGGATAAAGTCCACACTTAATCTGGAGTGTGATCACGCTGTGATCTGGCCTCCGTCACCTCCTGGCTCCTCACTTTCTCTTTCGCACCCTGTGCACAGCCCGCTGAACTTCTTGGTGACAATCTGTGGTTTGCAGGATGGCAGTCTGAACAAGCACCCCTCCTGGGGGACCATCTTGTTTCATTTCCTGCTTAAAAAGAGTCGGGTGTCTAGCTGGGTGCTTCGAATGGCACCAAAATCTCGCTTTCACAGTTCTTTTTACTGACACTCTCCTTCCTAACATTTCAGAGCAAGTTCCTAAGGCTCTCAAACTGACAAATGTTTTGCCATCTTCATTTCTGCCACGCAGGCCATGCATTGTCACATGCTTGCATCTCTCCTAAGTATGTGTTTCTCCAATTAAAGAAATCTGAGGTTCAGGCCCAAACTAAAAAGTTACCTCTTTAAGGAAGCTGCAGATAGAATCTGTGCTCCCGACTTTTTCCAGATTTCTGAAGGCAGTGCTTAATAGAGCAGTAGTCACCTACCCCCTTGTGCTAGGCATTGGGGAGCTGGGGTCTGGGGTTATACCTGCTTCTTAAAGCCTGGGACTCAACAGTTTCTCAATACATATTTGTTGCATAAGATGTTTCTGCTCTCGTGTTAAGCCAGGACAAGAAAAAACAGATCACAGTGCTTCCAATCCTCACAAAATATTCAGAAAAATCGGAAAGCGCTCCCTTTACATAACTGCCTTTTCCTAATAGGGCATTACTTGTCCATTCATTCATTCAGCTCCACTCACACTAAAAAGACCACTACTTTTCAGAGAGGCTGATAGATGGATCAATTTATCTGGAAAGGTCATTTGAATGAGGCCCCATGTAAATGACTACTGGAGCCGGTGTGTTTAACTATAGCAGGAGGCATCTTAGGAAGGTAGAGAATAGATCAACAGATGTAGGAACTGCTCGCTGATAAAACTTACCTCTTCTGAGACTTTTTGCCTAAAAATAGAAGAAATAGAAAAGTGGCATCAGCAAAAGTAGACAATTTCAATTTTTTTAAAATAAGAGTAAACAGAAATTCCCACCCTCGGAACCATCTTTTGAAGCATATTATGCGTTTGCTGAGTGGGGCCCCATCAGCGTCTGAGGTCGGAGGTACTGGGCTACTGCTCTCATTCAAACAGCGGACAGTACTCGGACAGACCGAGTTCCACTCCGCGGTCTGCACGGACCATAAAGACAAGTCCAGCCTGACCTGCCTGGTAACCAGGCCCAATACACCCGTTCACACCTGTACTCCCACCCACCTCGGATTCTTCCCTAGGAGACCTGACTGCTGATACTGTGAGGACACGTGTCTCACGCCATCTTCTCTAGGAGAATCCACAGGAGGAATTGCACTCGGGCCAGGTGGTAGGAGTGACACCCCCTATCTGATGACAGCCCAGTGGGTTGTCATCTTACACAGTGACGCTCAGAGGTCGGGTTTCCTCCTCTGATGGCTGCGAGGAAACTCGGAGCCCGACCCGAGACCCTCGCTGAGCAAGCGTGTAGGACTTTGTGACACACACATTTCTGTGTTCTACCTTCACCGGTGGCTCCAACCTATTTTTGTACAGTACATTTTGGCCTCCTTTTTCTTACTTTTTAACTAATTTTAACTTGCTCTGTTGAACGCATTTTGTAAATGATCTGACATTCTCTTTAAAAAGCAGAGAATAAATAAGTAGATAAATGAATGAACTGTAGAGTTGAGCTGCAGAGGAAATAAAAGCTTTCTGAGCAGCCCTAGCTGGTTTGGCTCAGTGGATAGAGCATCAGCCTGCGGACTGAAGGGTCCCAGGTTCGATTCCAGTCAAGGGCACACACCCGGTTGTGGGCTCGATCCCCAGTGGGGGGTGTGCAGGAGGTAGGCAATCTCTGATTCTCTCTCATCATTGATGTTTCTATCTCTTTCTCCCTCTCCCTTCCTCTCTGAAATCAATAAAAATACCTCTTTTTTTAAAAAAAAGCTTTCCAAGTAGAAAAACCTCTCTGGAAAGCAGTGTATTTCAGGGGCAACCCCCTGGAGCTCTAGAATCATTCAGTCGCCAAGCAAGCCCTGGTTGCCAGCAGCGTGTCCCTGAACGGCCACTTACCCTCTCTAAGCCTCCACTTCTTCAGTGAACGGGGCCTGAAATTGTATCTTCCTCATGGAGTTGATTTTTAAAAATGTACTCACAGTACTGAGTGCAGAGACTAAAGCTTAGATAGTCGTCATTTACTATTTTAAACCTTTAAAATATCAGAAATTAATATTTTCACATTTCTCCCAAAATTCAGCCACCAATGACATGAACCAAATATGCCTGTGCGGAGGGAATTAAGTCTGAACTCATTTCAGGTTTCTGTTTGTTCATCTCCGTGTATTTGTCTTTTAGGAGCAATGAGACGTACAGCCACACACGAGCAAGAATCGGTTCCTACTGAGAGTTTCCTTTTTGAAGAAAAGGGAACTAGGGCCTGTGCTCACCCCGTGCCCTGGTGCCCTGGTGCCCTGGTGGCCGGGTGCCCGGGTGCCCTGTTCCAGTCCTGTGGTCCCGGTGGAAGGGTCTTCCACCCCCGGGGAAAACAGAGCCTCCTTAACCCAGAGACCAGCAGCCTCAGGGCCATGTCCAGATGGGAGTCCGGCTCTGGCCCTGCTGACATTCAGGGACTTTAGAGATTAGGCCTAAAACGTGATTGCCTCTGGCCGGCCGGTGTGGCTCCGTGGTTGAGCTTTGACCCATGAACCAGGAGGTCACAGTTCGATTCCTGTGACCGAACTTGATCCCCAGTGGGATTGCGTGCAGGAGGCAACTGATCAATGATTCTCTCTCATCATTGATGTTTCACTCTTTCTCCCCCTCTCTCTTCCTCTCTGAAATCAATATAAATACATTACAAATTTTGAAAAACCACATTATTGCCTCATTTCCCCATTTACCAAGCAGGGCCAAGGATAATGGCTAGTCAGCTGGGGGGAAAGTTTCTAGACAAACCCATGCACAAGGGCATGTTTCTGGAGCCCCCGATTCCTCTCTCAGAAGAAAGGGGCTGAGGTCTGGAGGTCAACACAGCCAGGACAAGGGTCAAAGTGCCGGTTCCAAAGAGCCATCTGAGGACAGAGGGACAGGGTCCGGATTCTGGACGTTTTATTGACTACTATTCTGTAAAGATTCACCTGTCCCTTTTCCAGCTTCCTAAACCCCAAAAGCATATAAAGTTCTCAGTGCCGATGAGTTCTGCATAGATCCAGATGTATTGTTTTTCCCTTTTATTCTTGTGTTAGAAAATCTATAGGGGTTTAGCCCGTCATTTCTAACATTGTCTCTACAGGGAAAAAAATATTCTTCATATTTCAATTAACCTACAACTACAATTTTTGGAAGCAAAAGTGACTTGAAGTTGGGGCTACCAGAAGAGGTTTCAGAAAGGAAGGCTGTTTGGATGTTTTGTGAGAGAAGCATGACCTTCCTACAGCCAGTGATCTCCGGGCTGTGCTCTCTGCTGGCATAACTGTAACAGGCGAACTGCCCGTTATCTGTTTCCTGTTTGCCCCACACTCATTCCCACAGCGGGGCACGCAGTTTTCAGGTTATCAGTTTAAGATCTTGTACAGAAATGACTCCAAGGTAAAGAATGTAAAAACAGCCCCACTGCCTTTTCTCACCCCTGCTTACAAATCAGCCTCAGCCAGCCCCTCCCCCCCTCACTGAACAACTGTGACTTCAATTCTGTTCTTTTGATTCTACTAGCATTTATGAAAAGCTTTTAGAACTTGGGAATAAATATCCTCCTATGCTGGTGACTCGCAGCCCCAAAGTCTCCAACAGTTACTCAGCTACCCCTTACCCATGATGCTCTACCCCCTCTGTCCAGCCACTGCCACCCAATGTCGGAGGAAAGAGGACACTGGGCTAGGGTTTGAAGTCTCCATGGAAACGACCATCAGTAGTGGGAGGGAAATCTCATTCCTATTTTGCCTTTTACTTACATACTTAGTACGGTCCTATAAGTTGATGGGACCCGATGTTAGCAAATGTCTAAGAGCAGGAGCAGAGGCACTAACTGCTCATGCTCTCAGGTTACAGCTACTGAGGTCCTCGCACATCCTCGCCCTCCCCTCACCCCACCCCGTCTTGCTGGTTGGTTAGAACACGAATCAGGTTCCCTTGTTCTTAAATTTAGGATGAAAGATCTGATCACAGTGAAGACTATTGAGAAATGGTAGCTACTATTCCTGCACTTGCCAGTGAGGATGGGTGGGTGAGGGGTGCAGCCCTTACATACCACATTCACCGAACAGAATACATGCTAATTCATATGATGGAAGGGGGATTAAAATGGCAACACCACACAGCTGCTTAGCAGTTGTTTTGAGGTCACCGATGGCCCCTGACCTTGAAGCAGGAATGTATCAAAAGCTGCCTACTATGACCTTGAAGCAGGGGTGTATTAAAAGCTGCCTCCTATGCATGAGTTTCAGAGTCTTGGACATTTCTGCTGGCTGAGTCCGGCCAATGGGACAGCACACATCAGGGTCTGCCTCGGGCTGTGGGTCTGTAACCGTCAGGCTGGTCCATGTTAGGGTTTGGATACTCAGGGGCAGGTGGGTGAGATGCCGTTCCGTAGTGGAATTTCTGGGAGATGCACCTAAAAGCCTTGTCAAGAAGTGGTCATCGTTGTATCTAGCTCCGTGGCCTTGTTGAATGGTTGGGACTCTAAATCAGAGAAGAGCTAAAAGGCCCAACATGATTGTAGGAAAAATAAAAGCCAGTGATCTGAACAGGTAACTTGTCAGTCGCAGGAGACCATTCGTGCTTTTACTTTAAAGCAGCTGTGTGAAAAATAAAAGCCAGTGATCTGAACAGGTAACTTGTCATTCGTGCTTTCACTTTGAAGCAGCTGTGCATGCGTCTGCACTTGGGGTTTACCTGCCGGGGACCTGCACGGACCTGTGAATGATTCACTCCTCCCACTTCCATCACAAATACACAAAGGGACACACCTCCATGTCCTCTTGTAAGTGTGAACCAAGTTCACTGGGGAACCTTTATTGAAAAAATGCCACGTGGAAACATCTGTAATCGGTGGCACCAGTGAAAGGCACTCCCTTCTGCATGTTGGCACAGAGTCTGACGGCATCCCTGTTCTCCACATGACCTTGAGGAACCCTTTCAAGGGGCTTCCATCCCCTGACCAACTACATAGTGGAAACGGGGCTCATGGTCCCAGAGGATCCAAACAGAAGGCACCTACTGGCTGCCTTGACAGGGAAGGATGCCTAGCCTGATACAGTCTTTCCCTGAACACCCTAATTCCCTACCCACTCCCTGGCCCACAGAGATCAGCTTCTCAGACAGCTTCCACGGGTCACACCATTTAAAGTCATTGGTGCAAATGGCTCGAGGGGCAGACATGGGTAGCTTGTCTTTCACAAGCTAATTTAATGTGCATTTATTAAGCACCTACTGTCAGGTGGAGGTATTGAGAGATGAGGGAGTCAGCCCTTTATACACAGACAGATTTGGATGCTTCAGCTTAATGATCATAGAAATGCATCCACTGCTTTTGGAATCCTGTGGTTATTGGTGATCGTGGCAGCGGCATTTTAATGGACTAACAGAAGTGAGCTTGCACGGGAATAGAAGAATGAATAGGAAGTAATTCAGTAGAGACAGTGAGTTTAGATGTTAAGGACTGAGATAGAAGGAGTTGAGAATTGGCCGGAAAAAAAGAAATGGCTGTCATTGAAGGAAGAGGCAAGAATAGTCAAGGGTTATGTAGTAAATTAATATGTACAAATTTATTTTTAAAGCACATCCGTTAAGCAAAATGAAATATAAAAATTTACTATGTCTTTCCCACCATCTGCTCCATCTTTAAGGTATTCAGGAGATTGGGACAAATTGACTCACCCTGACATATTGGAGGAGGGCTGGACCAGATTCCAGACGATTCACAGACAGTTCTTGTCT